TGATTGTTAGGGTAGGATCAATTCTATGTATAGGAGGCCCAGGATTTCTTTTAATGCCATTACACAGAATAGCACAATGACCTGTGTGGCTTGCATTTTTGTCCACGCTTGATGATGTATTACAGCTATACAAAGATATCATAGATGACTGATATATAAACAACCTCACCAAGAATTAGGTTTCTGCAGTTTTTCATCTGTGCATTATTCTGAGAAGTGTTTCATCCAAATTTATAGAGCTTTTTATGCATGGAGACGCCATATTGGTGCCTCACAAAGGATATGGCGGCTGTAAAGTAACAGAAACATCTGTCATTGGGTTTTGCAATTGAAACGAAAAGTTTGCATAATATTTTAATCAGGTCAAATTATGACTGAAAATTAATTCCACAACACTTGCAGATAGCAAGCAACGAGTAACACCATAAGACCTCAGATTTTGGTAGTTTTTCAGATGAAAGTAATTCAGACTAAATGGGGCTTCACGATCTTTCACGACACCACTGCAAAATGCGTAGATTAATATGTGGCCTGAATAGTGGCGCTCATGTGGTGTGTTTACAAAAATAAAAACAAAACTGATAACAAAGCTCTTTTGCCTAGTACTGTTTGGCAGTATAATAAAATAACTTGTTCCATATTCAGCCACAAATTTCCAGTTAAAATATATTTCGCTTAGCAGAAATGCCCAGTCAGAGTGTCCAACCAGGCTAAGCTTTTACTTTTCAAAACCGCAAATTTACCGGACAATTGTCAGATGACCAAGTGTTATTTGCAAGCTTGCATAAATATGATGATTACTTTTATCTTCACTCCAGTGAAAGCCACTTTTGCAGTCAAACATGGCATCTTTGTTGTTTGATCACAATGCACCTTGTCTTTATTAGCACTTAAAACTTCTTTTGTCTGTAGTGACACTCTGTCCATATTTTCTGTTCATTGATAACTCCCTTGATTTCTGGTTTGGTTATAGTAAGACCTTCGCTAAATCATTTGATTCTTTTGCTATCTTACGTTCGCGGAACAATCCGTTTCAAAATAATCATATGTTTATTGACTACGCCGTCTTTAAGAGTGGGTCTACTACGAACAGTGTGTGGGTCTGTATGTTTGAACATAGTAAAGATGGCACAATATATGCATTTGATATGTGGAGAGCAGGTTGAGCCTTTGTTAACGTGTCCGTGGTATAGCCCATTGCATGTGACTGAGGAGAAATACAAAGGTAGACTTACAGTCGGTCGCCCGACTAATAATTCATGAGGTAAACAGATATAGCCTTTCCATTTATTTGACCTTGTCTGCTACCCAACTCGCGGAAATACT